TGTGCAGTATAAAAATTGAATTGGGAATAATATTGTGCAGTATAGATTATGAAGTCTACAAAAAACAACATTAAATAAATCAAAGGTTCTGCATGCCTTGTCATCCAACAACTAGCAGATTGACCAAACGTTCAGCCGAAGAACAACTCATTACTAGATTATAGAAGAGTTTAACTTTTCTATTTTTAAAAAAACAGAGTAAAAGAAGATTTTTCACCATTAGAATCACTTCAAAGATAAATGTTCACGATAATTAAGTGAAATAATAACCTGAAAAATAAACAAAAAATTACTTGTCACGTCGTATTAAAATATACGGATAGAAGTAAAACCTATTTACAATGGTAATACATTTAAGTTGGATTTTTTCCAAGTATTTTTAACTTGGGGAGCAGGCAATTAGTGGGTCAACTCCTAATAATTATAGTATATATTATTATATTGCAAGTCAAAAATGTATACGCTAAAAAAAAGTACGTACGCTTTGGTACTTTAGTGCTTCTATACCTGTGTTATGTATAAAAGTCAACACGTCAAAATTAAACTGTTGCCTAATAAACTGCAGAAACACTTGGTGCTTCCATTCACATAGATTTAATTTAATAAAACAAAATCTTGCTTAATTATTTAAATAGGATAGATTAGTTTCAAATTGGCAACTAAATGCGGATGGCTTTAGTATAAAATATGATTAAACAAAAGGTAATTTTGAACACATTTTGTTTAAGGAAGTGCCTAATTGTGGTTAACTATTTGACTTCACATATGTCGTCTTATAAAGTTAGCTTTGAACTAAGACCACTCCACTAGCAAAAATGAGTCAAATAGTTCCTCTATACAATTCATTTAATTTCCATTATAAATACTCTTTCATTCCTTCTCAAATTCACATCCAAACATTTCTCTCAATATTTACATTCATTTCATCTCATAATATAACAAGTATTAGCCATGGATTGCTTGAAAATTTTCTTTTTGTTAGCCATTTTAATGGCCTCATTCACTATACTTTCAGTAGCGTCGTCATCAGTCGATAAATTAGCAGAAAAAATGTCCGTAAAAAATAACCATATGGTTGAATCATTTGAAGTATCTTTGAATGAAACTGATGAAAGTTCATCATCTATTCGAGGGGTTAGTCGTTTCCTAGGACATAAATCACCTTATTATTACAAGTCGAAAATCATACAAAAAAGTATGAGTACATGTAACAAGAACCCTAGAATATGTCGTGCTAAAGGTAGCCCGGGGCCATTTTGCTGCAAGAAGAAGTGTGTAAACGTGTTTGCAGACAGGCAAAATTGTGGATATTGTGGGAAGAAATGCAGGTATAATGAGACTTGTTGTAATGGACAGTGTGTTAACACTTTGTTTCACAAGAGGCATTGTGGTGGTTGCGGCAACAAGTGCCAGAAAGGGAATGCTTGTGTCTATGGAATGTGCAGCTATGCAAATTAATTAGAGTACTATTCATAGAATAGAAGTTATAAGGACGATTAAATTATTTATTTGGTTCTACAAATTAATTACTATTTAATTAAATTAAATTTGATTGTAGGTAGTGATTCCTTTTATTGTGTATCAAATAAAGGCAATACCAAAAGATCATAATGACAACATTATTTATGAAATCATATGAGATTATATTAACGTATTACTGAAATACAGCAAGAGGCAGCGTGAACCATAATTAAATAAAAAGGGGTTACGAAATCAAACCCAACCAGTTTAATAACCCGTTCATTCATGAGTTCAACTCATTTCAACCCAACCCATTAAAAGTTGGGTTGATATGTAACGTAAATTGATTTATGAGAAATCTTGTCAAAATATTTTTAGATTTTTTTTTTTTTTACAATTTGATAGGTTATATATAGCCTTATAGCCATAATAAAGAAAAGGATAATTTTATAGGTACTAAAATATTTTAAAAGACCAAGTAAACCAATTAAGCTTAGTAAAAATTGGGTTGGGTTGAGTCTTGACTCGTTAGGTAACCTATTTTGACCTAAGCAAATTTGAATTGGGTTAGGTCTTAACCCGAAAACATCCCTAACCCATTATGACCCTCCAACCCAATCCGTCCAATTGCCACTCCTAAATAAAATTAAGGTACCGTCTCTGGATAATCTTTAAGTTAAAAATGGACTAAGAAGTTTCTAATTTCAAAACTCGACCTCCATTTACTAGGTCCAAGAGCATCACAAGTATATGTTGGGCACGTTAAAGTAACAACTTGCGCTCTAAAACCTCCCTCTCAATTACTAGGTCCGGTCGTTTGGATGTGAAAGAATCAAATAACACAAGACATTAAGACCTTATTTTTTATATTTAAATAAGTGTGTTTGCATATAAAACTTTGAACCTAACGGCCGGCTTAGTAACCTTTTGGAATGGGGATCCCCGTTGGCAACAATCACGATAGTAGTTGCGGAACTGCTGGGTCAGGACAGGAGCGGAAAGCCACTTATTGTGTTTTAACTTATATTCTTTGTGTGACTCATTTAATTCATGTGCGTTGAGATTTTTCTGTCTCGCGGGCAAAATTAATGTATACAAGAAGGGCTTAGGCAGCAGTAGATTTAGAAATCCAATAGCAGGGAGATGTAAGTTATGACTTGTGATTTATAGCATCTAAGCATAGCTAAGAAAATCAATTAAGTTTGGAATATTAACTTGCAGTATTTAATCTGTCATAATAGGTATCAAAGCTAGGATTTTTCACTAAGGATATTCACAATGTAAAAAAGTACACATACGAATGAACCCAAAGAAATTCAACATATAGTTAATATTCAACATGCCAATGCGCACAGCAGCACGCAGCCACCTAAGAAAATTGTGATCAGGACCAAAAAGAAGAACGAAAGTTCAACTCCGATCCACTCTATATATGTTGTGTCTAATTGACTCCTAGAAATTAATTACAATATATATATATATATTATGGATATCTTAAACATATGTTCTTGTTTAACATAGTTAATAAATAGAATTGAGGAGGAAACCAATTTGTTAATTAGTAGCAGCTAGTTAGGACAAATTAAACTCATATATAGAGCCACTATGATTAATTTGAAAAGTGATCTCTTAGGCAATTGGTTAACCCCTTGAGATGCAGCCATGAACATTAGTTCAACATGTTTCCAAAGATAACAAGACTTCAAATCAATAATCATAGACAGATTTAAGATTTGAGGTTAATTTTGCTGTATATACCTCCATTGACTTTCTCAACAAATATATAGGATATTTAAACCACTAGCTATTACTGATTTCTCAACATATGTATAAAATTTAAAGTTTATAGGTTCCGAAGTTTGGTGTATATAGTGGCGAATTTAGAGGCAAAAAATAGGGCATCGGAACCCGTGGTCTTTTCATAAAACTAGATATTTTATGTATATATATTTTCTAAAATTTGGATGATATTATATTCTGGCACCCATACTATAAGAAGTCACATGGTTAAATGTTGAGCTTTTGACCTTGAGGAATAAGGATCAATTCCCACTTAATACATTTTTATTTGGTACATCCATGTTTAGATCAATTCACACTTAATACATTTTTCTTGGTGCACCAATATTCGAAAAATCCTAAATTTGCCTCTGGTTGTATATACTCATGTCCATCGACTTTCTCAACAAATATACATAGAATTTGAAGTTTATAAGTTTTGACCTATATTCATCGACTTTCTCAACAAATATATGTTGGGGTTTATTTGCCCTGATTTCTTACCATAAATAGGTTTTCCTTTTAGGAAAAGGTTTTAATATTTTGAGTAGTCATTTTCTTGTAGGAAAGGTTTTAGGACTCTATAAATATAGGCTTGTTCCTTCTAACTTAATCAGCATTCACAATGTAGTCCTAGGGTTTTGAGAGTTGCGGTTATGGAGGAGAATTTTGTGTACCTCCTTGTATTCCGAGTGAATTGGTTGAGGTTGTTTCTCTCTATATTTTGTACTCTCATATTTATAGTGGATTGCTCATCTCTTTTGTGGACGCGGTAGGTCGATTGACCGAATCACGTTAAATCTGTCTCTTTTGGTGTGTTTCTCGTTTGTCTTATTACTCATGGTCTTTCGAGGTTTGATTTGCTAGCTTCCGCATTACACCTGCTTATATTCATCGACTTTCTCGACAAATATATACTACCTCCGTCCATTTTTAATTGTCATAGTTTCCTTTTTTATAGTCAAAAGATAAGTACTTTGACTAACATTTTACGATGCATTTTTTCATCATATTGATATGCAAAAAATTGCAATTTATAGTACTTTCGGTATAGTTTTTGAATATCTAAGTTTTTTGTTTAAAATATCGAATTAATGTAATCTAATTTCACTTTTGGAAATTAGTCAAATTGACTTTCGAAAAGCGTAACATGACAATTAAAAATGAACGGAAGGAGTAGGATTTAAACCAATATTATTGGTTTCCCCCTTTCCATGCTAGCAGCTCCTCCCATGACTATGGTTTTGCTTTTCTGCATCGCCAAGATTGTCTCCAAGTATCTTCTGTTCTCCACTTTTTTCTATTTTCTATCTTATGTTAACTAATTGTCCAAATATCATTCTACTCTTGAGCCAAATCCTTGAAACCTAACCTTATTCAGGGAACCAATTCTGTTTCTTTCCCGAAAATAATGCACAATGATTGAGCAACATTCAGTGTCCGTGCATATTTTCAAATTTAACGTTTTACTTTATTCTTGATTATATAAGTCAAATATCACTATACTCAAATCCCAGTTATATTAAGTGTTACTAAAGAATAAAATTTGCTTATATCTCTCAAAAAGTCAATCATCCAAAGCTCGTGCAATCACGTCTATTAATGCTCCCTTAAATCTTAGCCAAAATGCTGACTAAATGTTGCAAAAAGAATTAGTCTCAATGTTCTATATCATCGTGGGCACCACCTTTGTCACACCCTAATATATATCTAACAATTTTCCATAGTACTTACCCTCTATCTCATTTCCCTTACTCATCATGGCTTCTTTAGCACTTGTACTTACTCTTCTTTTATTGGGTATCTCAACTTTACAAGCCGAGTACTATGCACCAAGTAAAAACTATGCACCTTCTACTACTAAAAAAACTATGAACGTGATCGATTCATGTTGGCGTGCCAAGTCAAACTGGGACAAGAATCGCTATGCATTAGCCGATTGTGCTGTCGGCTACGGCAAAGCAGCTATCGGTGGGAAAAACGGTGCGATATACGTCGTTACTAATCCGTCCGACGACCCGGTTAACCCTAAACCGGGTACACTAAGATATGGTGCAATCCAATCTAAACCACTATGGATTATTTTCAACAAGGATATGGTTATAACGTTAAAGAATGAACTTATGATCAATAGTTACAAGACTATTGATGGAAGGGGTGCAGAAGTTGAAATTGCATATGGACCTTGTATAACAATCCAACATGTTAGTCATGTGATTATACATGGGATAAGTATACATGATTGTAAGCCGGGGAAAAAAGGTATCGTCCGGGATAGTCCGGTGCATGCCGGCCATCGTAACGGCGCCGACGGAGACGGCATTGATATATTTCAATCGACCCATGTTTGGATCGACCATTGTTATCTTGCACGTTGCACCGATGGACTTATTGACGTTATCCATGCTTCTACTGGTGTTACCATTTCAAATAACTACTTCACTCAGCATGATAAAGTATGTCTACCTTAATTTTCTACTTTGGATGTGTTTGATAGGGAGGAAATTTTTTAAATTTTTTTTTCATGTTTGGTTGATTAAAATATTTTGGAGAACATTTTTTTTTTTTTGAGAAAATAAATTTCTTAAGAAAATGACTTTTCGAGTGAGAATAGTATTAAAAAAACAAGTTTCATGATCAAGTGACATTTCGAGCTTAACCCCCC